GGTCTGGTGGTGTGTGCCTGTAGTCCCAGCTACTCAGAGGCTGAGATGGGAGGCTGGGGAGATGGAGGCTGCAGTGAGCTGAGATGACATGGCTGCATTCTGGCCTAGGCCACAGAGGAAGACCCTGTCTCAAAATAAATAAACGAATAAATAAAATATGCTAACAACAACACGGTTGCGGGTGATAAATAGGATCAGCTCAGAACGTTGATAACTATTGAGGCCAGTGACAGGTACATGGGGCTCACTGTACCATTGGCTCTACTTTTGTGTATGCCTGAAATTTTCTGTAGTAAAAATATAAAGTGAAATTGTATATCCAGTGTGCAATGCATGGCTGCAGCTCATGCTTCGTCAGTCACAGCATTTTCTTTCTTTCTTTCTTTTTTTTTTTTTGAGACAGTCTCACTGTGTTGCCAGGCTGGAGTGCAGTGGCTCGATCTCAGCTCATTGCAGCCTCTGCCTCCTGGGTTCAAGCGATTCTCCTGCCTCAGCCTTCTGAGTAGCTGGGATTACAGGCACACACTGCCATGCCCAGCTAATTTTTGTATTTTAAGTAGAGATTGGGTTTCACCATGTTGGCCAAGATGGTCTCAAACTCCTGACCTCATGATCTGCCTACCTCAGCCTCTTAAAGTACTAAGATTACAGGCGTGAGCCATTGCACCCGGCAGTCACAGCATTTTCACCCTATCAAAAACAGGGTGGCTGAGCACGGCGGTTCACGCCTCTAATCCCAGCACTTTGGGAGACCAAGGCAGGTGGATCACCTGAGGTCAGGAGTTCAAGACCAGCCTGGCCAACATGGTGAGACCCCATCTCTGCTAAAAATACAAAAATTAGCTGGGTATGGCGGCGCCTGTAGTCCCAGCTACTCTGGAGGCTGAGGCAGGAGAATCGCTTGAATCTGGGAGGCAGAAGTTGCAGTGACCAAGACTGCAGCATTGCAGTCCAGCCTGGGTGACACAGCAAGACTCCATGTCAAAAACATAACACAACAACAACAACAACAAAAACAAAATGGGGCAGTAGCAGGGTGTCTGTGAGGCCAGTGTGGGTAGGTGGCGAGACTGGACGCCTGTAGGGCATGAATCAGGGTGGTGCCTCTCAACTCTGGCTGCACGCTAAGATCTCGTGGGGAGCTGGGCGCTGTGGCTCACGCCTGTAATCCCAGCTCTTAGGGAGGCAGAGGCGGGAGGATAGCTTGAGCCCAGGAGTTCAAGACAATAAAGCAAGACCTCGTTCTCCACAAAAAGGAAAAAAATAAAAAGACAAAAAAAAAAAAGATCCCCTGGGGAGCCTGTAAAAATACAGGCCAGGCACAGTGGCTCACACCTGTAATCCCAGCACTTTGGGAGGCCAAGGCGGGTGGATCACCTGAGGTCAGGAGTTTGAGACCAGACTGGCCAACATGGTGAGACCCCGTCTCTACTAAAAATACAAAAATATTAGCTGGGCATGGCAGCCCGCATCTTTAATTCCAGCTACTTGGGAAATTGAGGCAGGAGAATCGATTGTACCTGGGAGGTGGAGTTGCAGTTGGGCCGAGATTTCGCCACTGCACTCCAGCCTGAGTGACAGAGAGAGACTCCATTGCCAAA